ATTTTTTTGTAAGGCCCAAATCTGGCTGCCACACTTGGCACTAGGAATGTACTTTCTAATGGGCCAGATTCGGCCCAAGTATTGCATCTTACTAGGCCCAGGGATATGGCCGAGGCTCGACCATTGTGACATTTCTCGTATGGCCCATGTCTGGCTGCCACATTGGGCCCATGTTATTTTGCCATGCATATGCCTTACTTGGCCCAGTCATGGTTGGCTACCTGGGTACGTATTACACGAATAGAAACTCTGTAAGCAGAGCCCTCGTGCTCCTTCGCACATGCAATCACAGTGCCCCCTGTCAATATGTACAAACATATGCCGGGCAAGGGAACGAACAGGTCATAGATCCATGAACATCTCTGTCAAACATCAGCTGCATCTGACTATTCCATAAAAACCTCCGATCCCTTGAAAGCGTGTCCGGTGGAAATAAGGGGTGGGGGATTAAGTACATTCCAAACTTTCTTTTCTGACCGGAATGGAAGTGGGAAATAGAAACATTTTCAATTCTTACACCTGAATTGAGTGCTTAAATTGTTTCATCGCTGATATGCATCATGGAAGAAGCTGTGGCTTCCGCTTAGGGTGGTGGTGGCAACGAAATTCATCATTTTTGGAAAAGTGTGGGTGGGGGGAGAAGAGGGGAAGGGTTGGCCTTCCTGGTCCTCCCGGTTCCACCCCACCAGTGTCCAAGATGCATTATAGTTCCGGATGAACGTATCCGAAAAATACACGGCATCAAAAATTATCATTCCCTCCTTGCTTTCTTATAGCGGGACAATGAACTTCTGACCTGGCAGGTACCCTTGCCGCCCTCGTCGATACCCGCGCAAATCATGTCATCAGTGATACCATCCTGGAATTGGCTGCACTCATCGTCTGAGTATGTGTGGAGATCCACGACTTGGAGGATGTACGGAGAGTCTCCCCCTTGGGTCAGCTTTCCCCATCCGCTGGCACTCACCTCCGTTCCACCTATATCGGCATCGATCCCCTTCGTTAGTCAAGTCTCAATAATGAAATGTGTCAGGCGAAAGCGACAGAAGAATCCCGCAAAATCCCAGTAACGAAGTGAAATGAGATCATTTGACTATCAAAGCTAGGGGAAGGAAGAAGTACGAAATTGAGTGGTATCGGACAGGAGGAGGAAATCGCTCGGAAAATAGTCAAACATTCATCTAGCAATTGCATCCATATAGCGGGTGTTGCACATAGATATCCCCCCCCCCCCCCTCCACAGCCTAAACTATAAGAGATAGGGAAAACCTCATATATCATGAGAAAGAGCATTCATTTTCGAATCTGATAATGTACTTTTAATAATTTGTGTACCCCCCCAGCTGCATCTCTGACAGCTTTAAGATGATCGGGGTAAGATGACAAGAGATGACTAAAGAGTTCCGTGTCATCTTCCACGCCCTTCAAAACTATGGTGATGTTGCTTTCCAAGGTTTCCTGGGAGAATCCATGCTGCCTGTCCTCCATGTGCATGAGAGCCTCATCTCAACCTTTCAGGATAGCCCCAATGTTAGCCTAAGCCACATTCAGTTTGAGAGAATTTCCAGGCCATTCAGAATTTTCAAGGAAATCCATCCCTGAGACTTTTAGAATTTGCTGTGCCTTCTTCCACTTCCTTTCCTCTCCTCAAAAAGTATTGTTTTGACTACAGTCCTTTCTAGAATGGTGCTTTCTTGGGATTCAGATTATTAATTATGAAAATGTCGTGCTTCCCAGGATAACCTGGCCCAACTGTCAAACCTGTCAACTCTGGAATTTGTGGCTATCTGAGAATGGGAATCTCGCTGTTCCGACCGAGTGAGATTCTTTAGGATTCGAGCCATTTGGATGCATTTTGTCGCAGCCGGTCCTATAGGCTACACCACAGTACACCTTAACACGATCGATGATGAATGACATAAGATGATTTTGAGAGCGATTTACTCGGCAGTCTTCTTTGTAAGAATCTGGATGGTCGGAAAACGTGATGCGGCAGAATAAGTTTTTTTTAATGTTTTTATTGCAATACCGTCAGTTTTTGTTGTAAAGGAGGGAGTAGTACCGTCAAGCAATGATTCTGCTGTTGAAGTATTCTCAAGATGCTGGAGTGTGACCCTTAAAGATCACCAAAACTCGTGAAGTGGGCCTCCAGCCAAAATAATTGCCCACCCCTGGTTTAGGCTGTGGATAGGGGGGGGGGCTATCTATGTGCAACACCCAGTACAAAACGGTGGAACCAATCTTGTTGCTTCCACTTTAACAGAGAAAGTAATTTTTTTTTACTACAAGTACACTGAATCAACTCTTTCGCTCCCAGCAGGATTGTATCCCATTAGGAAGCGCGGTATATCAGCACCTTGGGATTTTAAGGGTTAAGTATCCTCTCGTGGCGATATTCCCTACTTTTTGGTAGTCCTTGCTGCAGTCCCAAATCCTTTTAAATTGTGAATCTGTGATTGCTGAGAAGTTAGGAAATGTGCAATGAAAGACTCATGAGTCGCAGCGTGATATCGTTTTTCAGTCTCGTACTTTCCTGATTACTGTGGTATGCATATACTGCTGACAGCAGAAAGAAAACTTGCGTTAATCTAATCATTGAAAAGACATAGGTCTCCATAAATCTTCGACTCCAAGGACCGCATAGCTCAACCGAAAATTTAAATTCATTTTTGATAGGTTTCATAAGAGAAAAATATTATTGTGGGAGCAAAGTTGCGGGNGGAAAGGGGCGGGGGGGGGGGGGAAAGGGGCGGGGTTCAGACCCCTTAACCCCTCCACCCCCCGCAACTGATATCACTTGAAACAAATTACTTTATCCATTAATTCGCGATTCCGGTTCTGGAACTCCAAATAATAATAATCCAAATGAAAGGTTTTAGTGCGGCTCTCTTCTCAATGATGCAAAGGCGTCTCATCCGCAATTAAAATAATACTTGCACAGAAAATGATCTTGTTTTCAGAGAGGAATCAGACCCGGTACTTGCTGTTTTGAACAAAAGGTGTTGGAGGTAAGGTTTTTTCGCGTGAATTTGGGAACCATTTGTCAAAGAATAAGTTATTGTTTTTTATTTAGAAGTTTTATTTAAAACCCATAGTTTAGCGAGGGATGAACTCATGGAATGAAATAATAATATCGACCTTAATCCTTTTACGTTCCGAAATGAATACACAAGAGTGTGCTCACTGGGATACTCTTGGCCCTGCAGGGGGAGGGTGACTGGCATCATCGTCACGTTGTCCAATGGCAGGGGCTCCGTCAATGTCAGGATGCAGATGTCATTATATAGATAGAAGCTAGAACGAAGAGAAGTTGGTGTAGGTTTACCTCAAGACATCAAACAAATGTACTTAGCTTATAATTCGTTATCGCAAATTCTTCTGCCTTAGATTTATTGATGGTGCTAGTTAGTGATAAGAGTTATATTGAGATCTTTCTTGACTTTCGTATGCCGCATTGCAATCTGATCACTCAGTCGTGAGTTATTACAGATCAAACGGTAGGCAGGACTTTTGATTCACCCTGTACTAGATTCGGTGTCACCGCAAATGCGGACATTTACATTATGCCACATGCATATGCCACCCCTTGAGCCGAGTTTATAAAAGCTGAATTGAAGAGATAAGCCACACTTGGCCTGGGGATGAATTGCTATCTAATGCCATCGAGTTGAAATTCTTCTGACCAGGATCCGCGGACGTGCCAGTTGACGATTGCATCGTGGGAAAACAAGGCTCTCTGTTCTTCCTCCCCCACAAGGATATAAGGGGAATTTGGTTACCCATTATTGACTACCGAGGGCGGCAAAGGATACAAAACCGATGACGTCATACAGGACGCCACCTTCTGTTTTAAACTGCTCTATGAAGGCGTCCAAAGGTGGATTCATACAGAGCGGAAAACGTGAAACGGAAGTAAGCGGTTATTGCTAGCACAAAATGGAAACCGCTGGTCGGAGGCGGACTCCGTCCACGGAAGGAGCGGAACTTCTGTCGAGGAAAAAATAATTGTCCGTGAACGAACCACAGTCCAGTCGGATCGCTAGAGACTTTCTGCGAGGAAAAAGGAAAAATACTGACTCAGAGAAATTAACCGCGGAAGGAAGGAGGCACCCGCTTCTGAACGGCATGAGATCAGAGAAGAGAAATGAAGCGAAGTCAGAGAAAGGAGTTGGGAAGTTCAGGTGTAAATTAACGGTCTTTGAGAGATCGAAGGATGAGATTCCGGAATTCCAAGACGATCCGTATCGTCCTGGGAGAAAAGGCGCTGTCTTCGGCATCTTTTCATGGATGAGTCATCCTATTTCTTGTCTGTGTTCGTCTGAAAGCCTTAGAGTTCCTCGCGCAAACCAATGGTAAAAATCTGGTGGAAAAGGCATAAGATTTGAATAATTAGGGATTTTTCAAGTTTACTGTACAGCACCATATATATGTATGACGGAGCCCTCAGATTGGGTCCCGTTTGCGCTTCATCTGCGTTCAGATCTGTAGAAGTTGCTCGCTCCCATTCTAGATCTGAATTGCGTAGTCAAACTGCCATTCGAAAATCTGGAACTTTAACATCCAGCAATACGGTCACGCCCCATCCTCCTCAAAAACGAGAAACCTATTTTGACGAGACGGGCCAGCATTATTTTTCCCGAGTCTATCAACAGGAAAGGCGAACGGCAGGAAACTTTACCGGGAACGATCGTGTTTACATGACAGGCGAAAGCAGAGACTTAGTAACTGGGAAAGCGGAGAAGCCTCGTTGTTTTACGAAATGGACATCCAGAATCCAAACTATCGATAGTTTGGATTCTGCATGCTCTGAGCAGTGAGACCATCCAAATATTTGAGGAGTTGTAGTTTGCGGAGTCTCGCAAAAATCGCGCTGCTAGAGACGAACAGCGATTTACCCTCAGTTAGAGAAAGCGAAGCAGCTTCTAGAGACCTTCCCAAGACTTCCTATCACTTGATGGTTCACTGCGAACTTGCGAGAGTTTCAACCCACGCGATCATCATTATTCATATCGCGCCGCACGTCGAGACACAACAGCATGACGAAGGAAGGAGAAGACGATGGGCCTGGCGAGTCCCAGCCCCCTTCCCAGAGCCTTAGAGCAGCATCCAAAGGGGAAGTCCAAGGCCTTTCGAGCCGAGGTGAGGATGCATGAGTGAAAGGATCCAACATCCCTCCAAGTACGAGGGACAGTCAAACGAAAACGGGACATGGGGTGAATCACACGCAAATAAGAATGTTTGAGAAGAGAGAGAGTGCAGCTTCGTTGTTAAGTGTTTTAGATTTCCAAGACGCAACCGATGGCGCTGGGGAGAAATCACATTTAGCTTTCCCACATTCAAATGAAAAAATTCCCTATTTGTATCCATCAACTGTCTCGACAAGATCAACTTGAAAAATCTCCTTCTGGTAGCAACAGACGAGTGTCACTATAGATATGTTTCAGATTAAAATGGTAATAAGATGAAGAAATGGACTAAAAATGTAATTGTTGTCAATAACCGTACTAGTTGAACTCCTCGTGTTGCTTGATGACCTCAACGTAACGAATGACTCCTCCTTCGTCTTTTCGGTTGCTTCCGGCTCTAATCTGAAAGGTTTAACAGCACAAACATACTGGTACGGTGTATGGTACATATTATAGAACTTACGATGACTCATCTGGCTGTATCTTACCTGGACTTCATGAGGTTGTTTGTCTGCGCAGCAGTGAGCAGCCGTGATGATGTGCAACTCGTCCATGATGGATCCTCCGCAGAAATGGACTCCAACCTCAAACTGAAAGGAAATTTGCCAGGGGATGTCTTCGATGCTCGCATCCTGTCCTCCCACGATTCTCCCATCCAGCATAGGCTTGTCTGACTCCCAGTGGAGTGTCTCTGCGAATGAGGAAGGCGAACAACATTAAGAAAGCGCTCTTAATTAATAGCGCCTTCGCTACTGAGCCACCCTGGCTTGATAGGCAAAGCAGCGAGATCGTGCAGCTCAACACGAGTATATGGTATGTGTGATATGAAACTCTCTTGGAACCACACGTTCCGACGAGGGATGGAAGTGCTGGAAGTGGCCTGAGTGCTTCCGCTGAATGCGTAAAGCTTTACTAAATATTGTCCGTACTCTTAGGTTTTTCATCCTTTTCATCCCTTCATCCTGTAAGGAAACAGCAACGAGAAACTTGAGGTTAAATCTCCCGCTCTGAAACTTTTCAGCAGGTTGGAGACACACTGCGCTTCCGAGATCTAATCGTTGGTGTTATTGCCCATGAAAGAAAATCCAGGTTAGATTTTTAGCTCATGGCTTTTTCATAAACTTCTAATTATTAGTTTTAGAGGCGAATCGGAAATGCATGGGAGCATTCCCTAGGTCCTTTACCAGCTGGTGGTCCACCACCAGCGAAGTACCTGGTAATGTGCTGACCCTCAAGCGGCCTGGAAGGTGAAGGAACCCATCTTGGGTTCATGCAGAACGCCTCATTTCACATTCAGTATTGAAAAACGAAGGGAAATGAGCCGAAAACGAAATGTAAATCATCTTAAAGCAGATTACAAAAGATATGCATTTAATACATGAAACCACAGAATGGAGAACGGTCAGTCAGCGATTTTGCGGCGGGCCATTAGTGGTTCATGGTTGACTCGTGCACAAGCCATAGTTGGGCAACACCGGCACTCTCCAATCAGCTGCGACTAGCGCGTTGAAGGTCGTTGTCAAAAACAGCTTACAACCAGTGTTCGAAGCTTTGTACAAACTTGAGGAGAAGTGTATCGCAAGGCAAGGGAGCTATTTCGAAGATCATACTGAAACCTAACTAATTTTCGCGTACAAAGGTCAGTCCTGGAACCTTTTCATGGTTCCTCATATTCAAGGTCCATTCATGTAACTCGATTCGATCATGAAGTTTTCATTACGCTCAGATAATTGATGCTTAAGGAAGTTGGTTGATATAGCTAGTAGAACCATTCTCCTCTCAACCTCTGGGCTAGAATCAGCTGGTGTATCCCCGAGTTCGACTACATCTTGAAATATATATATTGAGGAATTCCATTGCCTTCCTCGGTAATCTATAAGAGAAACGACCTGGAAACTGGTTCCAGTCGGATCAGGGAATGACTTGCTATAACGACGATTTAAGCGCCATCTTGCGTCGGTTTGGGGAACCTTTGTAGAGCAGCCGTCAGATTTCTTGCCAGCGACCTTATTTGATTCAACTTCGGGGCTTCCGCATTAGGCCGACTGTACACGTGCCGCTATTGCCAAGTGTCCATTGCAGGGACGACAATGTTGTGGCGACTACGGCACGAATGTGACTTGTTTGACTTACTCTCTAGTCGAAGATGAGCCAACTTCCCCGGCTATGAACCTACCATCGATCAACGACATTTCTTAAATCTGCGAGGGTCTTCATTTTCTAGTCACACAATAAACCTCAGCATGAGCCTTTCTCATTGGTACTTCACTGAAAGGATATGACTCAATGGAATCAATCTGAAGGAAATCCCTTATCCTATCCCCTATTAATTCCCATATCGATCTTCTGACTGTCCAACAATAGAGGGCAATGAAATTTCTAATCGTACCAGATGAAACATCTATCTCCACTCATAGCCCATACCCTTTTCATTTGCGGTTGCTTTGTACTCAGAGAAATATTCCAGCAGGAAATAAATGTAAAAGGGTCGAAAAAAATAACAAAAAGGAACAAAACTATCACTGAATATTGAAGTAACGTATAAAAGTAAAAGGAAGTGAAGCATAAAATACTAATTTTTTTTAAGAAGTAAAGAGAATAGGCAGTCACGGAACGGTTTGGTGATACCCTCGTGAAGCTTACCCTCTAGGTTGTCAGTGGGAGCAGCATTGGCCCAAGCAAGAGCCAAAGAAAACAACAAGAATCGCATGGTGGTTGATGTCCACGAATTGCTTCTTTAGCTCCTGCTTCCTAGTCCTTGCAGTCCACACAGCATAGGCATGCAGGTTCGTGTGGAGTTCTATTTTTGGAGCCGGATATGGAAGAACACACGCCCGAGGAAGCGATTCTTCCCATCGGAGAACTCCCACCTGTTTTCTTCGATGAGGAAAACTTTTTTGCGCCCCTGATATTGTATCCTCCTGACAGTGATGTTGGTTTCGAGGTCGAAACTCGTGCACTCTCGCATATTCAGGCCCTTTACATCCAGACTCATCTGATGCAAAGGAGGATGCCAAAACCGCCCCCAGCGTTACAAACCAAAACAGATGTCAATCGATAGATCTTGGTGAGTAGATCAAAGTTGTCAACGGGCACAAATCTGTCAGAGAGTGCGATCATTGAGTTATAGGTCATCAAAGTTCAAATCTTCCGTTGTATTCTTTTGCTATGTTTGTTAATATATTAAACCTAGTAAATTATGTAATCGCTTTTTAAAATTATATTAAACCAACACATCGTTGAAAAATGTTCAACAAGAAGAATTCAACAATACCATTCTCAAGAATATTGTATTGCCCGTAAAAGCATTTAAAAGGAAGTAGACAGTTAGAGATGAGAAGTATCTTCATTAAAAGGAAGTCCTAAGAATAATCCAAATAATCGGCCTTACATTTATATTCAGAAACTACTTAAAGTATAATAATAAGCAACATTATTAATTACATCCGGTGTGCTCCTGAATGTCGAAAGAATAAATGTCGACAAGAAAATAGTCGACTGCCAAAATGTCGATGGAGACCATGTAGAAATACATCAATGTCGATAGGAGAAAAGATCGATAGAGTAAATGTCAAAAGGGACTTTTAACACACTCATAAGGTCACTTGCAGTCATCAGATGATGGGAGCATGGGGAAGAGCATGATCATGATGATGACTGGAAGGTTCTTTTATCAGCTCTCCCCCTTGCGTGATGGCACGAACTTTGAAAGAGCTGGTCCTGACATCTCTAGTAAAAATTCTCCCTTGCTGCCTTCTCCCTCTCTCGAAGTGAAGGACTAGCATTTTCTTGCCTTTCTGAGATCCGACAAATGTCACATTTGAGTTCATTGCAGACCAAGGTCGGAGAAGGAGGGAGTTGGGTGCCGAAGCCAGATGATGTACATGGAAAGAATACACACGAGACACATGGCGCTTACATAGAAGCCCATGGAATGGCTTCATCGACGGATCCACAGTCTCATTTAAAGAGTTAAATTACCTGCAAGGACATCGCCAAGTTGCTAGATAAGGCTTCTTGAGAGAGACAACGCAGAGAAGGCAGAAGGTGAAAGTGACCTCATGACTTTTCAGTTGTATCCTCAAACAGCTCGAAGCACTCCACCAGTCCCTTCATCGCCCCTTTCGTGGGGGCGTTCAACAAAGTCATGTTTGCACACTCCCACAGGATACTCTTGTAAAAATCACATCTTTCGACATTCGACATGTTTCGACAGTTCATCTTCGTCGATGTTTTAGAATTCTGGCTCCATTCCATTCAACATTAAGCATAAGCGACATGACATCTACATTCTTGTCCTTCGACATTACTATCTTTCTGCGTTTCTGCTTTCGACATTCCGACGTCAATATAGCTAGTTGCACTAACTATTACTCACGTAAACCGTACCAGGGACAGCAGTATTGCATCAGAGCGTGATGTTAGGCCTTGTTAGATATGAAGTCATGTGTGCTAAAGCACGCTTTAATGCAATAATGCTGCCCAGGTAAGGTTGATGTAATACTTTAAGACTTTATAAAAGAAAACATTTGGAACATGGAGCTGCCTCCTCGTGGTGATGGCGGCAACGGGCTACTCCTGAAATTCAAATGCCAGCAAAGTCGCTGAGCGACATCTGCGTAGTATTTGAGACCAGTGATGAAGAACTGACCTGATTTTATTTATAATAATAATAATAATAATAATGTGCAGAATCACCCTAACGGGGAGCAAATGACAGTATTGTGGTTTAATTTGTTTTAGTTTTTTTCCCATACGAATGACTTATATACTTGAGCATGGTATCGTTCATATTCTTCAATGAGATCCGAGTATACTCTCTGAAAGCAAAGAACAAAAGTATTAACTATCAGTGGCGAGATTCAGGCTAGCACAAGGCTAGGCCTAAAGATGGCTAATATATCACAAATCAAAATCTTTGTCTTAAGTCCAGAATAATCTATTATTACCTAATATTATTGACTTATTATTATTAAGGATAACCTATTATTATTTTCTATATAAGTCAAGGATAACTAATTGCTCAAGTCAAGGATAGCCTGTCAGCATATTCACACCAAGATATTGCAACATAATCTACCTTCAAATGTGTGAAGAAGTTGAAGGTTGCAGTGAGAGTTTCCACTGATCACTTTTTCTGCAGGGCAAGCGATACATTTGGCCTTGATCTTCTGGCCCTCTCGTTCGACAAAACTGATGAACTTGCCATCCAATAAAGAAGACAAGCCATGGTAGGGGTTGCAGAGTTGCACAGAATCAATTAAAAAGTATTTTGTCAAATGTATTTCAAATTATCAATACATTCCATCCAGAGAATCGTATTTCAAATATAAAATAGAAATACATTTTGGGATATGTATTGAAATACGTATTTAAAATACAAGTATTTTAAATACTGCCCACCTCTGCCTATAACTCAATGATCGCAACTCTTATAACTCATAACTCAACATAACTCTTGACAGATTTGTGCCTATTGACAACTTCGATCTACTCATGAAGATCTATCGATTGACACCTGTTTTAGTTTGTAACGCGGGGGCCACCTTCAAGTATAGATACATGGTGTTCACAGAGTTGAGATGAACCCAAACAATTTTTTTTTACTTAAACTTCTGGCTTTAGTGACTTGAAGCGGTGAAACAGCTCAAGTAGCACCGGAACGTTTAACGTATGTTCAACGAACGTTTCATATGATCTATTTTCCAGGAAAAATCCTTAGAAACGTTCTATTGACGGTTTAAATTTCCGAAATTTAGAGCGATCAAAAACTTTTTAAATGGTATCGTCAAGATTTTATTCAAGAGAGCAGCGTTTAAAGGCTTCAGGGAAAAAGGACCTGCCGCCACAGCCAGTCTACGTGTTTGGAGACCTGTCGCACCTGACTCCCTTCCTCCCCAACACGTGTCGGTACAGGGGTCCTTTGCTAGGGGTGTTCAACAGCTAGCGGAGGAGAGTCCTGGTGCCCTGGAGGCCTTAGAGGGATATAACAGCATTCAATTCCACGTGAACCATTAGGGCTGGACATCAAAATCCATCTGAAATCTTGCGAATCAGTTTTCGTGCAGAACAACCATATTTAGAGCAAACTGAAAGACGTCTCTTGAGACTCTTGAGACGAGATATTCTGCTTAACACATTGAGGATGGGTCTCATGTTTACACGGGTTTTCAGATCCATGCGTCAAGGACAGGACTTGTGTAAACACGGATTTTGCGCATGACTAATAAATAAGCATCGTTTGACATCTATTGGGGGTTTATCAAACTTATTGAACATATGCTCTTGATTAGGAAGCTTTAAGCTTTTAAGCTTTTAAATTTGAGACAAATCCATTTAGAACTTTAGGATTTTTAGTCTTTTTAGAGCTACGGCGCGTTTTGAAGTTCATTTTGCTTAAAATGCCCGAGAACCACGGCTATGGTAATACTATTCCCGTATACCCGTATAATTTTTCTCGAGCTCGAAAGAGTAATGGTGTAACTATGATGTTGGCCAGACAGTCTTGAACAGGGTACTGGGAAATTCTGAACATGACTCCGGAAATGCGACTGTTAAATTGGTTCTGCCGGACCGAATGCGGTCTTGTTCTTTTCTGATAGGAAGTTAAGAACAAGCAAAGCCGCGGAAAGGAATGCGGCGATACCTCTGATGGAGGCATTGGATCCTGTCTGAAATTCCTGGCATCAATTTCATGCCTCATTTCCTTGTAGAATAACTTCAGAATTACAAACCTTAACACATAATACTGAATAAGTGGCATTCAAACTTGGTGTCAGTTCTCAGATATCATCAAATATATTGAAAATGATGGAATTGCATTTACTCATTTGTCATTATTCCTTTTATTACTCAACAGGATCATTTTGAATGACTATCTACTGTCATCATCCTCCTTCCCCCAGCAGAGTCACTTCGGGCCTCTGAGTATCTCAGTCACTCACACACAATTTGAAAGATCACTCAGTGACCTTTCAAACTTTTAATTATACATTTCTAAACCCTAGAAAGCGTATAAGAAGTACCGTCGGAAATGGTTCATTTTGGGGGGTGGGGGTTAAAGTCCATTCCTTACTTCCTTTTCTGACAGTTTTCATTTTTTCCACATGAATTGAGTGCTTTAATTATGTTTCATCGCTCTGATATGCATCATGGGAGAAGTATCTGTAGTTGTTGCCTAAATGTAACCGAATTCTCATTTCTGGGAAAGTGTGCGCTGGGGGAAAAAGGGGGGGGGGGGGGGGGGGAGGAAAGGCTGACCATCCTGACCCTCCCGGTTTCACGCCCCACCAGTGTCCAAGGTGCATTTTATTTCCGGATGAACGTATACGAGAAAGACAAGGCATCCAAAATTCTCATTTTTCCCCAACTGCATTGGACAGCTCCTAACCTGTTTTCTTATAGCGGGATAATGAACTTCTGACCTGGCAGGTACCCTTGCCGCCCTCGTCGACACCCGCGCAAATCATGTCATCAGTGATACCATCCTGTAATTGGCTGCACTCATCGTCTGAGTATGTGTGGAGATCCACGACTTGGAGGATGTACGGAGAGTCTCCCCCTTGGGTCAGCTTTCCCCATCCGCTGGCACTCACTTCCGTCCCACCTATACCGGGATCGATCCCCTTCGTTAGTCAAACCTCATTAAAGAAATTTATCAGGCTAAAGTGACGGAAGTCTCTCGCTAAATCGAAGTAGCTAATCGAAACGAGATCAACTGGCCATCAAGTCCAGGGGAACGGAGAAATACGGAATTGGGTAGTATCAGACAGGAGGAGGGAGTCGCTTGGAAAACACGCTTTCTGCTACTGCTCTTGCATACACATATAGGGTATATCACTCAATCACTGCCAGTCCTAAGGTATTGGGGGGCCCTCGAGAAAATTTTAATTACCTGTCTTTCAAGTGTTTCCTAATAAAGGAAGGCTCATCAAATCCTCAGAAGATAAATATTAATTACAGCACAAACCTAAAGCGACGTGGAACACGCGCCTCTTAGTTCATGGATAAATAGTCCAGTTCTTTGTTCATGAGAAAAGGAAAACTCCATTTCTAATTTGGAATTAAGAAACGAAACAGAATTTTATAACACGGGAAGACGAAATTTAAGCAATAGATGACGAATCACATTAGAAATCTTAAAGTAAATATAAATAAAGGAAAACAAAATTAGTTTTGGGACCAAACCATGGTTTCAATGAGCACACATGTAACTGGAAATTTATTAATCTGTACGTGAGTCAATCCTTTTATCTGAGTCATCATCATTCCTCCGTTTTCCAAAGTATTCACCAGCGTCTTATGCGCAGGACACTTCCGCGAAATTTTAACTATCTGATATTCTCAAGGGAGTAGCGACAACTGATCAGTGGCGTAGCCATGGTTTAGCCTAAGTAGGGGCTGAGGGGAGCTGAGGAGGGGATGGAATTTCTGCAACTCTTCCTAGGTTGGAGTGAGGGGTGGCGAATGCATTTAGATCATAGTTGGGGGTGCTAGAACCAACTGGGGGGACTGAAACACCCCTTCTCCCCCCCCTTCGGTACTGCCTTCACTCTGGGACTGCTTTACTATGGGAAATGTGCTGCACACAACTCATGCAGTTTACGAATATTTTCGACCTCGGTCCTTTTGAGTTCTGAAATGAATGCAGAGAGTGTGCTCACTGGGATACTCTTGGCCTTGAATGGGGAGGGTGACTGGCATCATTGTCACGTTGTCCAATGGCAGGGGCTCCGTCAACGTCAGGAGGCAGATGTCATTGTATACATAGAAGCTAAAACGAAACCAATTCGGTAAGAGTTTCCCTAAAGACGTCAAACAGCTGCACTTAGCTTATAATTCATTATGACATTCTTGGATTTATCGAGCTTCGGCGCTTGAAGTAGCAAAAGACCGAGCTATCGATACTCTACCCCAGAAAAAGATAGGGCGAGAGTTGGCAGAAACCTCATGCCATCGAGTTTAATGTCTTCTAACGAAACCTGTTGATACTTGCATCGTGGGAAAACCACGATCTCAGTTCTTCTTAAAGACTTCGTCCCCAAGGATATTAGGGAGTTTTGGTTAACGTTCTTGAGAGGACGGGAAGCGATGAAGAACGGATGGCTGTCATTTATGACGTCACCAGATGTTTTAAAACGCTCGAGGAAGGTGGACTTAAACAGAGCTGAAAACGGAAATCGGAAGTCAGCGGTTGTCGCCGGCACGAGTTGGACGTCCAGCGATTGAGAAAGTGATCCAGCTTTGGACGACCTTATTCGGCGACGTGAGATCCAACGACGTCCTGCCGCTTGACGAACTTGTTAACTTGGGAATGTGTGGACGAGCACGATCGGGGGATCGCCGTTCTTCATCTTGCCAAAAATAGTCTCAAGATGAGAAGAGAACGGGGGAAGGAAAAAAAGTTTCTCCTAAGGTCCGACGTTGCCTGGTTTGGGTTTGGAAGTTCCAGAGAACAAATCATAAATAACGATTAGGTGACAAGAGTGCGTGTATATTAAATTGATGATAGTACTTTATTAAGTACTGCCATCCCACGGAGGGTTCCTTGCAAAGGGCTAAGGAAGCATCTCAGGGATTTAATAGCACTCTATTGAGTACTGATGTCCCAGAGGAGTCCGTTGAGGTTGTATTTCCTTCATTAGATCAGATTTGAGACCTAGAGTGACAACTCCTTCTGTCCAGCAAAGGAATTACATACCCATAATTATTTCATTTTAAGAGAGGAGCCATACGTATCCCCGCAAGTCAAATTTCCACGCTGATATCCTTCACAAATAAGTACAAGGACACGAGCCCTTATTGTCGGCATGTAGAGACTTGGGGAAATTGTGCATGTCCCTTTGGACCCCCTGGTCAGTAGTATTTAGAGTATTCTTCTGCCGGGTTACCTCCTTCAATGGGTCTTTCTAGGAATTCCAAAGCCTTCCCTTCAGTTGTACGTGGGAAAAGATCGGGTACTGTGTGGGAAAATACAGGGGATTCATTCCAATGGCACTAGGGTGAGAATCGCTAAGTCGGAGCTTTGGCGCCATCTTGCGTCGATTGGTAAAACCTATGTTTAAAAAAAGAAAAGGAGTGACGAGGCCGGGGAGGAATTCTTAGTGAATGGCGAAAAAAATACCGGGAGGCCCGAAAAGAGTTCCCAACTTCATGCTACTGCAGACGGGACACCATGCTGAGCATCGTCTTGAAATGTTCAGTGTGTCTTACCCAATATATGTAGGTGGTTTGAGGAAATTTTCAATGAAATTCCTTGCTCTTAACATTAGCAAGAGCTCTTTCCGTACAAGTCGTCAAATGAGCAAATGTGACTGCGTTTGCCGACGTGAAGCCTCGGCGGGCGATCCAAGGAGGACACATCCAAGGAGGACACATCCATGGAGGACCCATCTAAAATTGCTTTCATTGTGGTCAAGCGAGCTTCTTTGCACACTCGCTCTTTTGACATCACGCGGGAGAAAATTTGTTAATCGTGTAGTTTACAAGCAATTTCAGTTAAATTCTTGTTAAATTACCTGCATACATTGCATGTTAAACCATGTAAATTTCCTTTCCATAACTCATTTGGTACTCTTTCGGCAGGCGTGTAAAGTTCGGAGCGTTTTTTCTGGGCCACCCGGTATATACGTATCAAGCCCTGAAGGGATCCTTTTTCGAAGCATTTTGAGAAAGCACAATAAATTGCTGTTCCTAGAACCAAAGGCCAATTCCGGAGGTTCTACAAGAGCGGTGGAGTTTCATCTGCTTCTACATCTTTGCTGGAACCAATTCATATGGTTCTACGGAAACTGGAACCTTTTCAAGGGTTTAGAACCATTGCATGAACTATTATTTTTTACAGTGAAATTCTGATTAATAATGATTGATCGAGAAACGGAAAAGAAAATGCAGTTCTTTTTTAAAGTAACCGTACAAGTTGAACTCCTCGTGTTGCTTGATGACCTCAACGTAACGAATGACTCCTCCTTCGTCTTTTCGGTTGCTTCCGGCTCTTATCTGAAATGTTTAACGGCACAAATATACTGGTACGGTGCATGGCACATATTATAGAACTGACGTAGACTCATCTGGCTGGATCGTACCTGGACTTCATGAGGTTGCTTGTTTGCGCAGCAGTGAGCAGCCGTGATGATGTGCAACTCGTCCATGATGGATCCTCCGCAGAAGTGGACTCCAACCTCAAACTGAAAGGAAATTTGCCAGGGGATGTCTTCGATGCTCGCATCCTGTCCTCCCACGATTCTCCCATCCAGCATAGGCTTGTCTGACTCCCACAGGAATATCTCTACGAATGGGGAAGAATAAGATCGTAAAAGCGTTCTGGATATGTTGCGCCTTCTTGCTTAGTCATCTTGGTTTTGATAGACATACAGCGAGATCGGACATATCAAAATGAGAATTTCTCTTATTTAACCATTTCAATCCCACACTTTCCTGGGAGGAGATGTGCGAGACAGTGGCGTGAGTGCTTTCCAAAGGGTGGGGGAGGAGGGGGAGGAGGGGGAGTCCATGGGGTGATGTGGGAAGTTGAACCATTCTTCTCCCAATCTCCGGGCCGGAATCATCTGGTGTATCCCCGAGCTTGGTGGCATCCTGAGACGAATATACTCAGAAGTTCAATTGCTTTCTCAGGAAATCTGTGAAAGAAACGACCGGAAAACCGTAGGAAAGGTAGGATAATCTCTTTCCAGAGGGATCAGGGAGCGAATCGCTAGCAGGACGATTTTAGCGCCATCTCACTCCGGTTTTGGGGACCTTCTTTGTCGAGCAGCCGTCAGATGGCTTGCCAGCGACCTCATATACCGTGTTGGGCCGGCTGCACGCATACCGCTGTTGCCAAGTGTCACCCAGTGCAGGGACGACATGCTGTGGCAACTACGGCACGAGTGCGACTTGTCTGACTTTCTCTCAAGTCGAAGATGAGCCAGCTTCCCCGGCAATGAGCCTTAACTCGGCGAGGACATTCATTTTCTTGTCACACGTTACAACTCATCGTGGGCAATTCTCATCGGTGCTTCATCGAAAGAATTTGACCCAATGCAATCAATCGTGAGGAAATCTAAATTTCGTTATCGATCTTCCGACTGTCCAACAATCGAAATTGGAAATTACAATTAGAAATTCCAGCAATGGAATCTCTAATCCTACTGTATGAAACTTTTTCCTTCGCTCGAGACCCATACGTTTTCATAGCGATTCTTTTTTGCTTAGAGAAAATCCGGGAAAGAAAAATATATTTTTTTTAAATCCTGAAAAGTGATCAAACTTACTAATAAGTATAACTGAATTCAGCTATATTTATTCACTGATAAGTGATTAATTATCACTGAATATTTAGAATGTGGATTAAAACCTTAAAAAAAAAACGGTTTGATCAAAGAAGTAAAGGGAATAGGCAATCACATAACTTTCTTGGTGAAACTTACCCTCTAGGTTGTCAGTGGGAGCAGCATTGGCCCAAGCAAGAGCCAAAGAAAACAACACGAATCGCATGGTGGCTGATGTCCACAAAGATGCTTCTTTAGCTCCTGCTTCCTAGTCCTTGCAGTCCACACAGCATAGGCATGGACCAAGCACACCTCAAGACAAAAACCACGGCCTATACCTTCTTGTGTGCGGGCTCCTTCGCTAAGAAGGGTAGCCTCTTGAGGGTGGACAAAAGAAGCTACTCCTTTTGAAAAAAACGCAGAGACTTATTGTATCCTCCTCACAACGATGTTGGTTTCGGGGTCGAAACACGTACCCTCCCGGATGTACAATCCGAAATGCAATGTGTTATTTTTCCCTTCGTCGAATTTTCAGTCGTTTGAGATTGAGTCTTTCTGATTGAATGCAACCATCCTGGCCACCGAAAGTGACCCATTTTGTCGACACTTGCCGACTCGAAATGGTTGGTGTTCATTTTGCTTTCACGTTCGTTTCTAAATCAGAAAGTTGAGAAACAGTCATAATTTGTCTTTTAACTTTAGCCTCTGGTTTTCGTGACTGGAGACGGCGAAACAGTCTTCTGATCTATCGCGATTGGGTTATTTCTAATATTGATATTTATAATATTGATAATAATATTTCAAATATGCAGTATATAGGATTCGGCCCCAAACTTAGTCGGAACGATTCCAGCAGTCGGCTGTGAAATCATTCCACGAACGATTAGTACAAATGTTCATGCGACTGACTAATTTCTAGCCATGAATGGTACTCATTTCGTACATTTTATGTAATGGCCTTTGATTTCCTTGCTTTCTGAGCCCTTTGCATTCAAGGGCATTCAATGAAGAACTTCCGAAAGGTCATCGACTTTTCTGTTCAATAGCACCAATTTGCCGGCCATTAATCTGCAAACTCTATGAATTCATCAAGGCTGAATAAATCTCTTCGGCCGCGTGGAATCTGTTTTCCCTGATTCTTTCGTGAGAGTAAGTCAAAAAAAAAAAAAACAAATATAAATAAATACCAGATGGACTCAAGTATGATGCACATGAAGGATCAGACTTTCACCCGAAGAGGTCGACATTGCTTCGCTTTGTCGTCGTTGTCGTCATGCGTTGTCGTCGAGCAAATTGGCTTGGAGTTCAGAAGATCTGAGACATCTTTCGGATCGCATATCGCAGTTTTTGCTGAAGCAACCATGGATGAAGCCGTCCAAGGAATCGAGACTGGTAAACCTATGACCCCGTCACACCCGTCACACCCGTCACACCCGTCACACCCGTCACACTCAACTTCGCATGACTCGACAGCCGCATTCTCTATGACATTGCACAGAGGGCCGTTCTTCATCGTGAGGCTTGGGAGGAAGGGGGGGAGGGTGCTGAGCCAATGAAAGGAACCTCCTCAAATAGTTACAATTCACGTCTGATAAGGTGATGTCGGATTAATTCTTCGTCTGTCAATTCCGGACAGTGGTCGTTGAAAGTTGATTTGGTCTGTTTTGAATTCATCCAACGAATTACGAATTAAAGTTTTTTTCCTGAGGTTTTTTTTTCCCAGTTAAAATTTTCGTCACAGGACGCAACGTCGCCGCCCATTCGTTGCCAGATTGAGACATTAGCACGAAAGAATAAAATGAGAGAAAGAAAGCAGAAAGGGTTGTGAGATGGTCCTCTCTGGTCTTTCTCACTGGCGAAGGCAAACGGGAAAATCTGGAATGTGTTAAAAGCGAGGGGAGGATCTCATTTTGGAGGAGTTGGAGTGCATGTTACTTTCGGTCTTCGCATTTCGCTGCCTCAGGCCGACATAGCGTTGTGTACAAATAAGAATACACACAAAATAAGAAGTAACTGACGTACCATTGTATATTTCGTCGCATAAATGAAGTTTCTTACTTGACTTGTGCTTCACCTTTGCATAGATGCGGAAATCGGGGATGAAGCAATGACAAATCACGAAGAAACAGCCCTCGCGTTTCAACAATTTCTGTGTGCTGTGCGTCTATGGCAGGTGTGCACAACCCAAAAGACTGTGAGGACCTTTTACGATGTTTACTCACCTACTGCGGGCCGCACTCCGGCTGACCATAGCTGTGGCCAACAGGGCAGGAGCTATAGCAGGCCACCGGTCACGGCGGGCCGCGAGCAAGGTCCTCGCAGGATGCATGCGGCATGTTGTGCTCCCCTGGGCTAGGGAGTGTATCGTTAAGGCTTTCAAAACGATACTAGCGGGCCATAAGCTGAAGCTGCTTGGTCTCACTGTTGGGTTTGCTTTACGTACCCCAGAGAAGCCATATGGAACACAATATTAATGCCGGAAGCATCGAGCTGCATTCAAGGTGGCCGTGGCCAGGGGGAATAGAAAGGCGGTCTTCAGCGGTCTACCGGATCGAGACGCGATTCCTCGACACAGTGAGGATGAGAGACGTCGACGAGGTTCGTCCAAAATGCACGACACTGAGAGGAGAGAATGAGATCGTATCAGTTCGAGGGAAGAGGCAAACAATGGCACACCAACCGGTTTGGAACGTCATGGAAGCCACAGGGGCGCCAGGAAGATCACGAACCGCGAGGAACCGACTGCACGAGATTCCCATGCATGCCCGGAGACCACTGGTTTCTACCCATTCGGCATGCTCGCCCGAAATCCAGCGGTTCGTCTTCAGCTCATTGCATCTCACCGTAAGAGTAATCAAGAATGGTGTCTCGGCCGTGTCGATCGGGAACGCCAATATTGGGTTCAAGCCTCTTCGCTGACGCATCCATCTTTTGCCGACGACCCGATTCCCGTCGCGTAAGAGTTCGGTGAACTCCAGAGCAGGAACGATGCATCACCGAACGAAAAGCTTTCGGAGGTGGTGTAGTCGTGGTCTGGGATGGCATCGAGTTTGGCTTGCCGAACGGATTTTGCAAGGAAGACATGATAAACGCCCATCGATATCGATAGGGCATCCTGCAATAAATTCTCTTCTCAAACTCAGATGCAGTGGCACCAAGTACCAGGTACCAGGTACCAGGCTGGACCATCACTGACGACAATGCTCGACCTCACCTCGCCCATCTGGCCGAGGAACACCTCCAGCAAAGCGTTCCGAGGATGGACCGGTCATCGTGTTCCCCCGATTCGAATCCCATCGGAAATCCCCAGGATATCCTCAGAAGACATGCTGCAGCCCACGAATGGGTCGCAAGCAGCTGATGGCCATTCGCATCGAAGAACGGATAATACCTCATCAGCTTCGGCAAGGGCGATCGATATGCGGCCTGTAGAATTGGTCGCAGCCTATAACTAGAGTACCAGCCCAGGTACCGATCGGCCATTATCTGGTCACTGTACCTCTGAAATTATACCCTTCGCCACTTACTAATCATTCAGTTTTAAACCAAAAGCTGTCCTTCCTACGGTCGTAAGTCTACGTGATTAGCCAAAGATGTTCTCCATGGTTCGCGCGCAAGTTTCGCGTGGAGATGAGAGAGAGTATTAACAGTAGAATGCCAGATGTGACATTTCAGGAGTACATCTGGCAACCTTGTCTACGTTGCCACCGGCAGCCGCTCTCTTCCATTGTTTACTATGGATCCGTCATCCGCAAGGGATGGAAGGGAAGTGGAAGTTTTAGCCGTAGACTGGCTCCCCGACCCAAGCGGAAGGCTGCACATGCGCACTGAGTCGAGTTGTTTCTGCTGCTATGGAAGCTGTGGACAGGAATGGGCAAAACAACTGGAGTACCAGCCCAGTACAGATCTGGCATTCCACTGGCCCCTTGTACCACTGGATCTATTATATATGTTCTCCGCATCCTAACCATCCAACCTTGAAATAATCATAGCTGTCGTTGGTTCGGCGTACGCCTATATGAAAAGGTCTGGTCAACTAGACGTTTCCTCGATGGTCCGCGCGTCCGCGTCGCGTGGAGATGGGAGGACAGTATGAAGTGTAAGATGCTAAATGCGGCATTTCACGCGTACGCCTAGCAACCCAGCTGTCTTCGCGGCCGGGAGCAGTCGCTCTCCTCCATTGTCTACTATGGATCCGTCAACCGCCAGGGCTGGAAGGAAAGTGGATGTTTTCGTGGAATTTCCTATAGTACCTATGGGAATGGCAAATCATTGATATAACCCATAAAGCTAAGCCTTTTCGCTGTGTAAAAACCACACTGTTTTCTTCTTTAAGTTTTTTTCTTAGACGTTTCGGGACTTTTCCGGAATTCTAGTCATTGATTTCGTGTAGTATGACTGGAAAATTTCATTTGAAATATTATAAAATGTATTCATTTCGAATCACTTTGCTATATTTAATCATGACTGCATGTTCCCAGAATAGATTTTACCAGTGAATATGAAAAGTTGAAATGCTTCTTCAGCACCCCAGAGAGGGAACTTTCTGAGAGGAGAGAGGACTATCATCTCTGTGACAAGGGTGACTGACATGTGAAAGCATGAAAAGCATGATGGCTTCTTGAAAGCATTGAGAATACTGAGATATCTTCAGCACCCCAGAGAGGGAATTTCTGAGAGGAGAGAGGACTATCATCTCTGTGACAAGGGTGACTGACATGTGAAAGCATGAAAAGCATGATGGCTTCTTGAAAGCATTGAGAATACTGAGATAGGCCAATAATTTTCTTCTCAGGAGAATTGCTCAGATACATGAACAAGTGCAGTCCTCTCCACTGGTTGGAAAATTCTCGTATGTTTACGTTGGAAGACAGATTAATGGTCATAATGACCTTTCTGCCTTCAGAAATGCATATAATCGGCCACCCTTCATATAAGCATAACTTTATTATGCAGAAAAACACGGATGATAGGAATGTGATGTTTTCATTTGGAATTTTCCGAAAGCCAATCGATGTGAGTGGATGTCTGGGCGTAGACTCCAGGAAAATTCGGTACAGCACAGCTGTATCCCCAAGAGACGATACCCACAAGGTGCTCATCGCCTCCCTTAAGGAACAGGGGGCCTCCGGAATCTCCCTATTATAGAGTATGGAATCGATATCAATTATGAGAGATTGAAAGATTCGAGTCGAAGCATCGTCGACGCTACGAGACTTGGAAAATGATGAAATCTTCGCAGTGTAGTATACAATATTCATTACGTTTTCGGTTGCAGTTGGTCTCCGTGGTCGGAAGGGGGAGGGGGAGAGGGGGGAGAGGGGGAAATTATCACCCACTGATGAGACCCAAAATGCGTGAAGAACTTCGTGCATTTCACAATGTTTTTCTCCTTTTTTTACAGTTGCTCTCCCTGCCGTATGCCTCACCTGGCAAGAATCCTTGCCGCCCTCGTCGACACCGGCGCAGATCATGTCCGGTGTGATGTCACCATCATATGCATCGTTGCATTCATCGTCAGTGTACGTGTAGACATCCACGATCTGGAGGATGTCCGGAGAGCTTCCCCCAGGGGACAGGGTTCCCCACCCGCTCACGCTCACGTCGACCCTACCTACAACAGAAGTGGATCCTTCCGCTTGACCAAATCCCAATCAGAAGTCCGTGCTCGTATCGAAGCCCCACAGATCCACTTGCGATGCCTCTTCAACTCGCGTTCTTATTTGTCTAATGGCCACTGCCTGCATCCCCAGCTCCATAAAATGAGTGCAAATGCAAGCTTAATGCAAGCCCAATTGTAAGGATTCAGAAGTCGGTGAAAGCTCCATGGCAGCGATTTCAGCAACGAGTTGAATCAATTTGCGTTATATATATCTGGCTACGAAGTCTTCAGAACGCGGAAACCGGTCACGATATCGCCAAGACCTTTCCGTTATCCTTAATTCCTCTTCAGATCGGGGAATATCCATGACGACGTCGATGATGACGTAACGGACGATCCCCGATTCTCACCCCATTAAGCACGCTCTATATTTCGACTTAAAAGATCGGAAGCAAACAGGACAGGACGAGGGAAACATACCTGGGTAATCTTGGTCTTGATCGGGCAGGGCGACTGCCTTCATTGTCACGCCGTCCAATGGCAGGGGTTCGTCCAAGGTCAAGAGGCAGATGTCGTAGGACAGGTCGTTCCTAAAAATGATCAAGTCAGAGAGTGAAATGACATTTTAATTTATTTCCGCTCTTGCATCCCATCGGAGACAAGAGGAAGCGAGGCATTCGCAAAGCAGGCGGTCAGCCACTCGGTATCTTATGCTGCTAGGGCCAATGAGATTCAGCATTGAGCGCTTGTCAGTGAAACTTTTTTTTTTACGGTTTTTGTAGTCGTAGCAATTTTTTCAGAGAGCACCACTTGCACTTGATGTTTTGACGTGCCGATACAATATGGGAGACCTTGAGCCAACAAAAAAAGAGCCTTGATGAGCTGCTTATCCCAAAAATGCCATTCAATACCATTTCCAACGTAAAAGCAAGTACTCTGGATCACCGTTCCTCGAGAGGTATCCTTTGGTGTTTCGGTTGTCGAATAAAGAAAATATGACTCGAGGATGCCGAAAGCCGGAAGTGATTCTTTTAGTGTTTTGGTTTATAATTGGGACGAAATGACACCTTTATGGGTACCCAACGTACAACTGTCCCTATTCGACGAGAATTCTGGAGCAGCAAACCTACTTCATCGATAATTTCGGCCCAATCGATGAATACTTGTGCACGAAACCCCGTCGGCTCGTAGACCGAAAGACCGTAAGGGAACACTCACCCGTTGTATCTCGGGTGCTGGAGAACGTCGGCGACGAGGACGAGGACTCCTCCTTGGTCGTTGAGGTTGCTGCCGGCCCTGATCTGCAACATTCGACAGCAAACACACGCGCCTCATTACAAACGCTCGACGCAAACGGAGCCGGTGCGAACCGCAGCAACAGATCCTCACATTCGTGGTGCCGGGTCCCTCGCCCTCGCAGCAATGGGCAGCCGTGATGACGTGCGTCGAGTCCATGATGGATCCCCCGCAGAAGTGGAACCCGCTGAGCGTCTGGAAGGAAATCTGCCACGGGATCTGCTCGATCTCCGCGTCTTCGCCTCCCACGATCCTCCCGTCGGGCATCGGCTTGTCTGACCTCCAGTTGAACTTGTCTGCGAGAGGAAACAGCAAATAATGGAAATCGAGGTTCGCGGTGGAAAGCATTTAATTCGTTGATTTCGCGAGCTGCGAATATGAATTAATATTTGGGGGACTAATGGCGCAAGTTTACCATTCGAATGAAAATTAGAAATAAAATATTAAATTAAGAATGAATATCGACAGAAGCCGAAAATAAAAATGGAACGAGAATCGAAACCCTCCAACACTTTCGGACGATTTTGGACGGCGACTCACTTCTGAGGAAGTCATTGGGAGCGGCATTGACCCAGGCAAAAGCCAGGGCGAGAACGAGGAACTTGACCATGTCGAAACGAAAGCCTGCTACGACCCTGAGGAGATCCGGGACGACTGTGCTGGACCTCCGCCCCAGCCGGGGTCCTTATATATGGGGGAATTTTCTATTTCGGGCCTGGGTTTTCCCCCAGGACGCCACGGACGCGATTCCGACGGAGAGTTCCCATCTGGCTCGCGAAACGGTTGCGAAATACGAGGGTGCCGGAGAGTTTTTTGGAACGACGGAGACTCGATCGGATCGGATTCGTCTCTGGTCGTCTTCACCGACTCACGTACTTCTGTCGGCAACTGTAAAACGATGTGCATATTATTCATAGGGAGAACTCGCTCGATTCAATTCGCTAACTACTGTACATAATCGCCGAATTTCAATTTGCCAATTTTTAATGTAATTCTTGACGATTTGTCGAATTGCAACTAGTCGAATATTCGACTTGTCAATTATTCATCTTCGAGATTGACAATTATTCACCGATCGTTCGATTCGCTGACTATATTTTGCCGTCGATTCCTAACACCTGTATCTGCTCCTGCATCATTATTACGTCCGCGAATTCGGAAATTGCCGATCTGCTCTCGCTCCGACCGCATCGCCTGACGTCAGCCAGCCAAAGTCATTCTAGAGACAGGCCCAAAGACGTCGTCCTTCCTTCGAAGTTTCACTATTTAAAAAGCAGGTTCGGTAAGGATCTGGAAAATGTTTCAAATCTCAATCGGTTACATGGAAAAGCTCCGTCCCTCCGTTCGTCCGGCCTTCTCGGTCTGGATCGGCTGATACCCGAGCTCTATCCCCTTTCCTTCGTGATCCCGCTGATCGATCAACATCCAAAGGAATCACATCCAAAGGAATCACATCCAAAAGAATCACATCCAAAAGAATCACATCCAAAAGAATCGCATCCAAAAGAATCACATCCAAAAGAATCACATCCAAAAGAATCACATCCAAAAGAATCACATCCAAA